GTTACAGATATTCAAGCCATCGTAAGAGAGAGTGGGGAGGGGGTTGGAGGGAGGGGACATGGCAAACCCAATCATGTAGTACTTGGGGGAGAAACACACATTCCCAGGGTTATTCTGCAAACAGAAGCCTTGGCGATTGAGGAAAGGACGGCCATGAGGCCTGGAGCAGCACTTCCCCTTTCTCCCCCTGCTTTTCCAACACCCAGACCCCAGAGTGCCTCTGAAGGGCTGGCTGTACTGTGGCAGGAAGCTAGCCCATCCCCAGATGCTGCGCAGCGGGTCCAGTCCTCCAAACTTAAGAAGGGGGCAGCTACTCCAGTGTGTAATATCCTGTCTCTGACACCAGGTGGCACCAAATTACAACCATAACCCCAAAGAAACCGGCAGGAAATGGACCTTGAGAGCCCTTGAACACTTTTCCTCTCCCTCCCCGCTCCTCACATGGAATAGAAGAACAAGAAGCCTTTCAGATATAGTGGATAACCCTCTTTCGATGCAAACGCTTCAGTCCCGTAGCTAGAGCCATTTCCAGCTGAAGATTCCTAGGATTTAAATGCAGCCATAGTCTCTGCCCTTCCTGAATACTGATTTCTCAGCAGCAGATAAGGAAAAAGGTGATTTTCCTGCAATCTTTCCAGATACCTCCAGCCTCCGGAAGAGCGGTTTTTCTTCAAGGAGGTCAGCGGGAGAATAACAGATATGAGACATAAGAAGCTCAGCTCAAATGCAAGTCCCCTTCTAAAGGACTGAATGCCCTAGCATGGCGTGCTAAGGATGGCCACGTGTACAAAAGTTGTGATGTGGCCCACCGGCTTCATCGCCTCTTACCTGCAAATAGCACTGCTTCCAGCAGCTCAAGCGCGCTCTGTGAATTCCTTTCGTGGGCTCCTCCACCCAGAGTGCTGTGCTCTCTCAGCCATTTCTATCTGTCGGATCCCTTCCACTTGTGGAGGTGCAGACAGAACTCCAGGAAGCGTTCCTTGACTTCTCCCAGTTTGAAGGGACCTCCCACTCTTCCAAATTACCATAACAACTTGTGCCATTAGTCCTATTCTTCTACTTTATATTATAGTTAGTTGTGAGCATATCTCCCCTACAAAACTGTGAGCTCCCCAGGGCACCATATCTTACTTATGCTGATGAACACAGTGGGCACTCAATAAATAATAGCTTACATTTGTATGGTGCTTACAGTTTACAAAGCACATTTACATTCATTTTCCCATTTAATCCTCACAGCAACCCTGTGAGGTAGGTGTTATCATTTTGATTTTACAGATCAGGAAACAGGCTCGGAGAAGTTAAACAACTTGCCCAAGGTCATACAGCTAGGAAGAGCAGAGATGGGTCTGAATGCAGGTTTTCTGACCCTAAAATTCAGCTCTTGTAACTTTCTATACTTGAGTTGTTGGCTGGAAATTCCTTCATGGAAACTGAAGCCATGGGGCTTGTTGTGGGGACTGGGGAACGGGAGGAGATCTAAAGGTCAAACTCCCTTATTTGCAAAGAGGATTCCAGAATGCAGTCTTATTTTGTTTAAGGACATCCTGGGGTGAGATGTCCTTGGGTTTAAGAAGTGAAACTGTGGGGTGAATACAGGACAATAAGGTGTGTTCACAGCCTGTAACTCACAGATCTTTTCAGTCTGCAGGGAGGTCCCCAGCCTATTCAATAATTTCATTAGCAGGACATTGGTGGCATTCCGATCAAATTTGAAAATGCCATGAAGCTGGTTTCGGGAAGATCCCAAGAGGCCATAATGAACCAGGAAAATGAAATGCAAAATTTCAGAGTTGAGTTTGTCAAAACCAAGTGCCTAAGTGTGAGGTAGGAGAGCTATGACTTACCAATCTGTGTGAAAAGGTTGCTGGTGTTTGGGGTGCCTGGAAACTCATTATTATTTTTTTTAATGTAATTTTTTTCTAAAGATTTTTATTGGGGAATTGGGGGAAGGGGAACAGACAAGTTGCTGTCGTTTTGTTCTTCAGTCCAGTTGTGGAGGACGTTGCTTCACTGGCCCATGTTGGTATTATCATTGCGCTCTTCCCGGGCGAGGCAGATCAGTCGCCGGCTTCTGGATGGCCGCCCATGGCGGCTGCTGGCTACACACGGTAGCCCATGGCAACCCACCTGCCGTCGCCAGCGACTCACGGCAGCCCAGCTCCAGGTTGAGCTGTTGTTCAGCATCTTAGCTGTAGAGGGCAGTGTCACTGGCCCTCATATGTGGGATCCGAACCGGGGCCCTCTGGCGTCCCAAGCCAGCTCTTAACCATCGCGCCACTCGGCCGGCCCAGGAAGCTCATTATTTTTTACACCAGCTGCCCGAAATGCTAATGCATTTGGGGCTCGGATGAGAGAGAGATTAAAGTTGTGCATGCCACAGTGGAGGATTGTCTTTAGCCTTGAACATCACACATGAACAGAGGCATCAGCAACCTGGAGCATGCACAGAAGAGAGAGACCAGGAGTGTGAGAGGGCTTAAAACTCCTTGAATATGAACTCTTGGGGCTGTTTAACCAGGTGGATGGATCAACAGGGGGATGGTGGTGGTTCGGTTTCCAGTTTTCAAATACTGGAAGGCTCATGATCCAGACTCTAGATTCTAGAGCCTTGTTTCGCTTTGTAAGAGGGGCCATCAGGAGGAAATATGCTGTGGAGAACATATTTTGACCCAACCTAGGGAAGAACTTTATAATGGCTGAGATGACCAAATATTATGCAATAGTCTGCTTTGAAAGTACAAGACTTTCCCATTACTGGAGGTATTTAAGCAGAGGCAAGATAAGTATTTGGCAAGGAGATTGCAGAGGGAAATCAGGCATCAGATCATAAGGGAGGGGAATTCGGCAACCATCAAAGCTGCTTTGACACTGTCATTTTGGGATTCATGGGGTGAGGCTGGAGGTTGTAACCCTCGGAGTAGGTACCTTTTAACCGGTTATGACCTCTGCTTCCAGCCTCTCCTCCTCCGGCCTACCTGCACCTAGGCTCCAGAAATATTCTCCTGAATACTTTACCATGAGATCTTCAGTGTCATAGAAACTCAGGCACCCTGGAGGTCATCTGGTTCAGTCCTTTATCAGATGCTTTCATTGTCTTTGCATCATTTGCATGGAGTGGTTGTCACTGCTTGAAAATCTGTGGTGATGGAGACCTTTACAGGCAGCCCATTCTAATTTCAGGGAGCACACTAATCATTAGAAAGGTCTTTCTAAACACAGCAAAATGGTGACATCGGCATGTTGAGAGTAGGAATTTTTTTTCTCTATTTTTGAAATTGTTGGTAATAAATGCTAAAAGGACTTCAAGAGGCTGGAATCATGAGCCAAAACTTTTATTATCATTTTTTTCATTATAAAAAAAGAAAGAAAGAAAGAAAGAAAGCATTTTCCTTATGTTGAACCAAAGTCTGATTTTCTATAACTTCCACCCATGAGATCTTGGAGCCCTTGGAGATATACACAGAACAAATGTACATCTTCCTCTTCCCCCATGAGCCCAGTAATGAATTGCTGACAGTGGACAAATTTCTCCTGGGATTTGCCAGTCCCTTCACTAGTCTCACCACTCTACTTTTGTTGACCTTTCCTTTGAAGTGTGATGCCTGCAACCGAACAGAGGGCCTCAGGTGTGGTCTCACCAGTGCAGAGTAGCACAAGGTGATCACCTCCTTTATTCTGGGCATTATACTCTTAATAATATAGCCCAAGGTCACAATACTTTCTGTAGCAACCAAACCACATTTTTGACTCATGGCTCGCGATGAGCTTACGTTTACTCTTAAAACCCTCTCAGCCACATCTCTCACATCCTACACGTGTACTATTACATTTTGGAATCCAAATAAGTGACTTTATATTTGTTCCTGTTAACTTTCATTTTGCTATACTGAGTCCATTATACCAGCCTATTGACATCTCTGTGCATTCTGAGTCTGTCAATTTGGTTTTCTTTCCCAGCGAGAGAAATTTTCAAATTTGATCTGGTGACATTAAAACAGAGCCCTTTTGTGTGTAGGCAGGGTGAGAACCTGCCTACATTTATCTTTATCCACTCTGCATTTCTACATATTGTCCCAAATGTATCATGAGAGGGTGTTTTGTTGAACTCCAGATACACTGTATCTACCCACCCAGTCACCCTATCAAAGGAAATCAGCTGAGTGTGAAATAATTTGTTTTTCCTGAATCCATCTTCATTTCCTTTTGTAAGTGCTCACCAACCATCCTTTTAACCATTTGTTCTAGACTCTTGCCCTCAATCAATGTTAAACTTATTGATCTATAATTGCTGGAATTCATCTCTTCACATTGGTAAAACTGTGGAGCCCCGTTTGCCCACCTCTGAGCTGCAGTGTTCAGGCCAGCCTCTCTCCATGAGGTTTTCAAAGCCACCTCCAGGAGTCCTGCAACCTGAGCTGCCCTGGGCTGTTACTGACCTGGACTAGGAGATGGAATTACTCCGAGCAGCTAAAAGCTCTTTTGGAATACACTGCTTTTAGGAGCCACTGTCCAAGGCTCACTCTGTCCTTTCTACTCTGAAAATCCTTCTCCTTGTGGAAGAGAAGGAACAGAAAGAGGAGCCGTGGAGATTCTGTTTTCTCTCTCTCTTTTTTAAAGGATTTTATTGGGGAATTGGGGGGAGAAAACAGCGTTGGGGAATCGGGGAAGGGGAACAGACAAGTTGCTGTCCTTTTGTTCTTCAGTCTAGTTGTGGAGGACATCACCACATGGCCCATGTTGGTATTATCATTGCGCTCTTCCTGGGAGAGGCAGTCACTCACAGGCCACTGGACGGCCACTCACAGCTGGCTCACGGCAGCTCATGCTGGCTGCCAGCCACTCAACGGTAGCTCACGGCAGCCCACTGCAGCCCCACTGCAGCCCACGCCATCACCGGCAACTCCCGGTAGCCCAGCTCCAGGTCGAGCTGTTGTTCAGCATCTTAGCTGTAGAGGGAGCAGCATCACTGGCTCTCATGTGGGATCCCAACAGGCGGCCCTGCTGCTCAGAGTTCGTGCTCCCAAGCCAACTCTTAACCAACGTGCCATTCAGCCGGCCCCTGTTGTCTCTTTATTAAACCATTTGCAAAAGAAGTCAGAGTGTTCTATCACTCACCCAGTAACACCCAAACTCTTCTACTGTTGCGAAGACCTCCACAACCTCCCTTTCCAACTTCATGTCCAGTCGTTTAACTCGAACCCTCTACTTCAGTCAAGTTAGTCCCTCACTTGCTCCTCAGGCATGCTCAGACCTTCCTATCTCCCTGCTCTTGCTGAGGCTTTTCTCCTAAGTTGGAGTGCCCACTATTCCATCCACCCGAATCCCCTCATAGCTTTTCTTGCAACTTCTCCAGCCCCTTTAACCTTGACCATACAATTGAAGTGACATGCTAGATTATGCGTTTCATTCATTTTATCATAGTTCACTTTTGTCTTCCTGACAGTGTGCACCCCAAAGGGGTATCTTCTATCCCTCTATAGTATATAAATTAGCACAGGGACCGGCCTACAGTCCTGGTAAACCATAGGTACTTCCTATGGAGGTTTTCACAGTGACCAACGCTTGGCCCTTCACACACACCACAAGTTCGCTGTGTCCAGTTCCCCAAAGGACTAATCTAGAAACTAGGTAAATCTAGGAATGCAGGCTGAACCCAGTCGAGGCACTAATGATTTTTGCAATATGAAATAAAACCCCAGTATGTCCTCAGCCCCTCTTCAGACAAGGAGCTGGGCTTTGTAGCTGGGCTCAGGGCTGGCCATCAGCAATGGGGCTGAGAACACTGGAGCTACGTGGACCCAGGTCTGACTGTCTTGGAGGTCACCTCTTCCATGCACCCCTTTCAAAGGTGTGAAGACCAACTATAATCTCTAACAGATGGGTCCCAACTAGGATTGGAGCTGGCTCTGCTATAGCACCTTGTGTTCTTCAAGGAGAGGCGATGTCTAAATCCTCCCCAAATAGAGAGCCTCCTAATTTGGAGGCACACACACACACACACACACACACACACACACACACACTCCAGAAGAAGAGGCCCAGTTTGGTAATATCTGAGATGGAGCAATCAAAGGATTATAATAATGAGGACTCTGACCTCGAAAGGTCATGTAACCCAGTCCTCTGTTTTCAGGTAGAAAAACACCAGTATTTTCCTCAGTAGTCATTCATTCAATTTGGCCACTGTTACTGAGGACTTACTAAGTGCCATGATTACCTCCTATCCACAGCGAAGTCTTTCTTTGTATCTAATTTAATCTTATCTCTCTATCATTCTCAGAAGAAATGGAGAACAGACCCTCAGCTCTGTCCTTATTTAGGAGTTTAAATTTTGAAGGTGATATAGCACACTTGTCACATATTAGGTGCTTGATAATTATTGAATGTTACCTCATCATCTCTCTCTTTTCTAAATTAAAAAAAGACAAAAGCTAGTCCTTTGGCACATGGTTTCTGCTCTTGTCCAGACTCTCTCCAGCTTTTCCACATACGCCAAACGTGTTGACCAAAGGCAGACCCATTAATGCTTTAAAAGGCCTAACCGATGCTAGGTAGAGTGAAAAAAGCTGAGGACCATGAGGAAGGTCATATATTTCTGGACTGCATTCTAGGTCTGTTTCTAACACTAACTGTGACATTGGCCTTTTCTGGGCCCATTTCCCCAATTGTAAAATAACTGGGTTGGACTGGATGACTGAGGTTACTTCTAATTCTAAACCTCAGACTCTGATTACTTCCCAACAACTCCATGCTATATGTTTGTTATTATATGCTAGTAGTCACATTAGTTTTGGAAAGAAAACAGGAAGGGAGGGAGGGAGGAGAAACGAGTTCTACAGTATGGACTCATTCAATTGTGACCCACTCTGACCACCCCCTTTCTTTTTCCTAACTATACCGTGTGTCAAGTCAGTTCTCGGGTTTGGTGTCCTCTGCACACCATCCTGTTGTGTTGGTTCATCTCCCTCATTTTGTCAGGGTCACTTTGAAGAATTCTATTCCTGATTTCTGAGGTGTCAGCAACCCCACCCAACTGTCATACTTGGTGAGCAGGCTCCTGGTTCAGTCCTTCAAGTCACTGAGAATAATAGGAAACGCCACAATGCCAACCCTGTGGAGCCCCAGGGTTGATAGGGAGCCACGGATCACAATCTTTGAGAGAAACTGCTCCCAGGACCCCAGTGACTTCTCAGAAGAGGACAGAAGCATCCCTGGGGAGGAGGGGGCCCTCCTGTGCCAGCCGACCAAGGCCAGGGAGCGCACACATCTGGTGGCACACTGGATCCAGATACCAGTAAGAATTGCAGCATGTTAGAAGTCAAACCTCCTTCCAGACCCTAGTCCTGGATGAGGGCAGGGTGGTGGCAATGGTGGCAGTGGCGGGCAGCTGTGATGGCATGCAGTGGAGGCAGAAGTGTTATTTTTGCCCTTTCATTAGGAGGCCAGAGGTGTTGAGATAAGGCTTCAGCTGCAGGAACCCAGACCCTTGGGGGGCAGGGTGAGGGTGGGGGCAGCATAAGGTTGGAGATGCCTCAGTGCTGGTCCCCGCAGAGCACAGCCCAGCCTTGTACCAGCTTAAAGGCATAGGAGGGAGGGACCTGCTGTGATTCCTAGCCTGCACCCAGCTGGGAAGTCAGGGGCAAGGCCTGTGCAAGGGAGGCAAGTTGGGAGTGCTAACTGGATTTTTTATTTTTATATCAAGACACTGTGTTTAAAATTTTTACAAAGGACAAACTCCATGGGTTTCCGTTAGTGTTTTAAGAACTTTTCTTTAAAAAAAAAAAGCCAACAACAACAAAAAACAACGCCTTTTTGAAAGAGAAATGACAGACACAAAAGAGACTCCGTAAAGAAAATGGGGTGAATTTCTGATAGCATTACCCCAAGGGCAGAGGCAGAACCCAGATTATACCCGGGGGGGCCACTAATGACTTGGCCTCCACAGAACCTCGTTCGGCAAATCTACCCTGTGGTCTCTGCAGCCCCTCACAGGGACACAGAGATGGCTGGAGAGTTCTCCCCTATGGCCCTCCAACCCTGTCCAGCGGTCACCCCTTCCTCCTTCCACGCAGCGGTCTTGCTCAAATCTGTTTCAGGGTCCCGTTTCTTGGTCAGATCGTGTGAGCACTGGGGGTTCCAGAGCCAGAGAGCCCTGGTCCTGGGGCCCTCCCCTTCCAGAGTTCTTTGCACTCACAGATTGAAGAAGCTTTTGTTCCAAAAATTTTAAAAAACAGAAACAAAAACAAGACCCAGAAAAAAGACCAAGTCTGGGGGAGAAAGAGCTGCCCTGCTCTTTAAAGCTCCCAAGTCTGGAGTTGGTCGGTGGTGCAGTTCCAAGGGAGGCAGAGGGCGAGCACCAAGGGGGTGTCCAGCTGGTGCTTTCGGGCCCCCAGGAATGTCTGTGGTCAGACTCAGGGAGCTGGCTTCAGCTGCTGTTCCACGGGTCTTCAGTTTCCCAAGGACTCACTTGCGTCCCCATTTGAAGGGTTGGTTCAGGTTTACTTCCTTATTTGTGTTTTTGTACATACGGGTGCATGTCCACATCTGTCTATGTTTGTGCAGGTGGGTCTGCTGTCTGTCGGGTGTGGCTGCGTGCGTATACATATATGTCTGTACGTGTCTGTGTGCGTGCGTGCGTGTGTGTGTGTGTGTGTGTATGTGCACGCAGGTGCACATGTGTGTTCGTGGATCTGGGAGGGAGGGAGCAGGAGATAGGCTGTGCTCTGGCTGGAGCTATACCCTGGTAGTGGAGTGTGAGTGGGGCAGCCCAGTACTGTTGAATCCCGCGGCAAAGGTATTATAGGGGTGCAACGTCTGCAGCCCTACCAGGGAGTTGGGGATCATAGTGATGGTGTTGGGAGTCATGAGTGGAATGTCATCAGGGGAGCGTCGCAGGGTCAGTGTGTAGTCAGGCAGCGCAGTGAGGCGCAGTGTGTCGTGGGGGGGACCAGCCTCACACTCATGGTGAGTGGGGCCCAGCTGCAATGCTGCCAGCTCCTCCTCAGGAGCAGCTCCCAATTCGGGGGCCCCGGTTCCCCTCTGAGGGCTAGGCTGCCGCAGGGGCTCCTGACGTCGTTTGTCCTTACGGTAGTAGAGGGCAGCGAAGGCCAGAACATTAAGGAACAGGAGGGAGGCCCCGACAGCGATGGTGACACTTAATTCAGTGGAGTAGTCACGAGGGTTCTCCACCAAGAGTGGCCCTGCATCCTGGTCCCCGTTCCAGGACCCTTGGGCGTTCTCATTGCTATAGGCAGGGGAAATGGCTGGCCGCTTGGTGCTCCAGGTCTTGCCGTTGGGCCTCCGGGTGATATGGGAGCTGTGGGTGGTATCCGGGGGCGGCACTTTGGTGGTTGTGGACGTATAGTGGAACATGTCATGCAGATTGTATAGGTGGGGCACCAGGTGTTTCCAAAAGGCTACCTTAGTGGCCCGGTAATGATCACGGACCCTCGGTTTCAGCCCGATGTGAAGGTAGAGCTGGTCTCGGGGATTGTATTTGGACCAGGCCACTTCCTCAAAGCGGTTGGCCTTGGTGTGAATGAACTTGGTGTCCTGGGGGACCGGCTTGTTGGGATCCCTGAAATACCACATGGAAATCTGGGGTCACCACGCTACCTCGATTAGGAAACGGCCCAACATTCTCCCTCACACCCACCCCTAAACCTCCTCCCCAGTCCAAAATTTCCCAGTGTTTCCATTTTTTCAGGGTCCCTCACTTTGTCCATACTCCTCCTCTTCCCCAGCCTTGAACTCCTATTGCCCACGGTGTCGTGGAACCATCCCATCCTTCCCTGTGCCCATCCTGCAAGATCATGCTGGAGACGCTTTTTTTCTCACGTGCTACTGAGTGTCTGTCAATCTTTTCAGCCGCCCCATTCTTCCAAGAGCACTTTAAAGGCTCTTTCTGATTGTACTTCCCACTTCACACAGCCTCCGATCACCTAACCTTGAATCCTACAGTCCGGCCAGTGACTCTCACTCCTGCCCAGTCCTAATGTTAACTGACTTCTGAGCCTCAACAAAATTTTTGAGGGAAGGAAATGGCACGAGGGACTCAAAATGGCATGAAAGGAGGGAGTAGGGAGGGGGGGTGAAAGGGTTACCAAACAAGATTTAGGGAGATGATGGAAGAGGTTTAGATAGAGGAGCAGAGGGGAGGGCACACTGGAGTCCCAAAGGAGAACGCCCACTTTCTCCTTACCCGGTCTTGGCAAAGTTGGTCCAGTAGGTCATGACAACAGCACTGAGCATAACGTCATTCTTGGAGAAGTTGCAGGGGAAGAGGTCAGTGGGGCCCACCATCGGGACACCGAAAACATAGGGTACTTCGTCCCCATGAGCTGCATCAGACCAAGCAGGCTTCATGAGGCTCTGGCAGTGATGATAGAAGGCGTAAAAGTAAGTCGGTGAGCCATAGCGTGCGTGCAGATCAGCTGTCACCACCGAGGGCTCCACCCACTGGTGGTCAGTGAAGAGTGCCACCAGTGTTTTACGGCGGGTCTCAGGGTTATCACGGTCTGCCCAGTCTGTATACATGAACTTGATGGTCTCCCGCAGGGTATCCTTACCCTCAGGATATCCATACAGATTGTCCACAAAGTTGGAGACTGAGTAGTCAAAGTCAGTGCCAGAGACGCCATCCTCAGGGTCTACTACCCCTTCCACAAACTTGAGGCCCTCGCCCTGGTTGACGCCTAGCATGATGTCATAGTTGAGGAACTCACCCTGTTCCATGAGGATCTCAGGGTCATCAGGAATGACATCACCATCAATCACAGGACCAAAGGCCACATGGTAGCGGGCTGGCTGGATGTCCTGCTCCACCAGCTCCTTGGCACTCTTTTGCCGAAGACAGTCCACCATATCCACTGTGTCTAGCACATTACAGCCCACCTTGTCAGCCAACAGGCTGGTATACTTCACTGGTTGGTAGTTCACAGCCCAGCTGGACAGAGCAGAACCACTTTGGATGATGGCCCTCTGAAAAAGCCCTACAGAAGATAGGCGGCATCAGATCAGCTCTGCCTTGTCACCCACAGCCCAGGCCTCCCTTGCCTGTCCCTTTCATTCCTTTGTTACTGAGGCTGCACTATGGCTTGAATGGCCTGGGAAGGAGGAACAACCCTTTTGGCTGGGATGATGGGTGAGGATCAGAGGAGGGGTTGCTGGGCCCGTTCCCTGACTGGTCCCTTGCCTGCTTCTTGCTTCCTTGTCCAGAGGCAATGGTTGGTAACTTGGGGGTTAAGGAAACGCCAGGAAGGATTAACCACTTGGGTCCCAGACATCAGCTTCCTTATGCTCCCTCTCTTTATCTCTCCTTGTCTTCCCCTCTTCTTCCTGCCCAGCTGGGCCCAGCTCTGTGCCAGCACACCACCAGGGAGCTGGCACTTCCATCACAAAGGGGTCTTTTTCATGAGAGATGAGAAATGCAGGCAGGAGAGAGACTCACATTCTGGGAGTTTGGGGAAGGGTTCCCAAGGGCAAAGGCCTTGGGGTCTAAAAGTCTCCGGGGAACGTGCCCTCCCAGTTCGCAGTCCCCACAGGGCTTCCCTTTTCCTAAAGCTACTGATGCCTCGGATCCAGATTTCCCCCTACCTGAGGGGGACTCTGTCCCCCAAATCAAAAAGTGGATGATTCTTCCCCTTAGGAAAAAAAGGGTAGCATTCTTTCCCTGGCCCCAACATTTCCAAGGGGTGATCTAGTTCCCAGGCACACATTTCCATTTCTCTGAGAGAAAGGCAGAAAGAGAGGGAGAGAAATACAGATGACGACACAAGAGACAGCCTCACTTTTTGAAAGATTATTCTCCATGAGTCAATTACAGAAAGACAGAGAGAACAAATCTTTAAAGCAGCCCCGCCTCCAGGGACACAGACCCCCTATGACAGAGGATAGCACCACTCCAAGAAAAGGCCTTTTCCTCCCAAGGGAGTAGTCTCCAATCTGAAGAGGAGACCCCTTTTAGAGAGGCATCCACCCTCATCCTCCTTTGCGGATAAAGGGATTCCTGCTCCAATTACTGTCACCTAGAAACACATTCTAAGATGGGGTGCAGCTCCCACCTCACCAGGGTCGTCCCAGGAGGGGCAGAAATGGAACTTCTAGGTCAGAGAAGGTGATTTTTCTCTGAGAGACAGGCCTTCAAAGAGAGACTGAAGGTCTTCCTGTGATAATATCACTAACTCATGGGGTTGATGTTAATGAAAAAGCATGTCCTCTGTCACAGATTTCCTTACTTCAGAGAAGGGCATCTTTCCCTCTCAGAGACAGGATGTGTTTTATAGTCCAGAGGTGATGAGAATGGTTCATGTCGGCAAAAAAAAAAGGGCCTCTTCAGCCCGTTGGAAGAGTCACTGACAGAGGGACCCATGGCAAGGACAGAGGCTTTCCTTTGGGCCAAAAATGAGTTTCCCTTAGGGGTTGTTCAGCCTGGAGGAGGTTTGAAGGCTGATAATAGGGGGCCAGCCCTGAAAGAAAGCCTGCCCTGCAGGTTAGCAGTCCTCACTTGGGAGCCATCTCCCGCTCCAGGACAGCTCTCTTGTACGGACTTGTCCTTCAGAGAGAAAGGCAGAGGAAGAGTGTTTCTTACACCAAAAAAACGAATCTCCACCCTAAAGCGCTACCCCAAAGTCACGTGTCCTTCCCAAACAAAGAGATTCCCCTGCCCCAAAAGAACTCTTGTCCCTTCAGAGAGTTCCTCTCCTCCTACTCTCCTAAATAAGGCTGCCACATCAGAAGGAGATGTAAATGGCATTCTCTCCTTCCCTCTGTCTCATGGACGCATTCCCCTTCCCCTAAAGAAACATGGCCCTCCCGCTTCTCCCCAAGGGGGTACTGAGCTGGTAGAAGAGTGCAGGCTGACTCCCCTGGGCACTGTGGGTCGGTAGCCAGTGCTTTGCTTGTTGAAATTTTGCCCCCAGAGCTACTCACCCTCAGAGTGATGTGACAACGTGAGGAGACTGACACAGGATGCGCCGATGCCAGAGCCAAAGACAGTAATACGGCGGGGATCACCACCGAAGAAGGCGATATTCTCGCTCACCCAGCGGAGGGCCTGGATTTGGTCAAGGAGCCCATAGTTGCCTTTGGCAGCCTGATCACCAGTGCTCAGGAAACCTGGATTCAACAAAGGGCATGAGGACAGCGAAAGTGGAGGGATGGACAATTTGGGTTATGATTGGCAGCAGGAATCGGTGCTGTGAGGACAGAGAATAGCTCCTTCCACCTAGCTAGCATAAAGCAGTGTTCCTTTCTGCAAGGCTCAACATCACCAACACAGAAGGATCTACTCCCTGCCTCCCACCCATGGTCCAGTTGGGAAGCAGAGATTGCCAGACCATCCAAAGGGGACGCCTCCAGTCGGGAGACTTAATGGTCAGGAACTGCACAAGGCCAGGACCCAGCATCCTCTGCCGGGATGCCCTATCAGGGTCATGACCTTAGCACCTGGCAAGATAGAGTGGAAAGAGCAGAGACCCTGCTTGGTCCCTGGCTCCACTACTTCCTAGCCATGTAGCCTTGGTCAAGTTACTTAAAACCTCTGGGCTAGAGTTTCCTCTTCTGTAACATGGGGATAAAAACACTCCAACAGGCTGTAACAGGGATGAAAGGAACATAAGCATCTCTGACATGCTGAGCACGTTGTAAATGTATGGTTACTTCTCTTTCCCTTTCCTTCTCTCTCTGAAGGAAGTGAAGACCCCAAGAGGCAACAATCCCTAAGCTCTCCTTGCTCTTCCCCACCAGTCAGTCCATCTCCACCTCTTTCCAGGGCCTCGGATGCCCATGGACCATCATTGTCAGGGCAGGTCTTCATTTCCCTTGCTCCAAGACCTACTGATTCAGAAACTCTGGGGGTGGGGCCCAGTAATCAGTGTTTTTAACATGGTCTCCAGATGATTCTGATGCTTGCTAATGTTGGAGAACCATGGTGTGAGACCATCTTTTTCGTCTGGTGGAGAAATGGGGAAGTCAGCGCGGTAGTTACCACAGAAACAAGTCTTCCCGCCTACCCAGTGGGATTTGCTGGAGGAGCCATGTCACCATGGAGACTACCTTCCCACCCACCTGCTGGGATTTGCTGCTGTGGAGACTTGTTGCCATGGAGACTACCTTCCTGCCCACCTGCTGGCTATCCCACAGAGATGTCCTATATTCCCCACCATCACCACCACCACCACCACCCTGCTTCCATTTTAGATGGATCCTGCTCTGCCCCATTTCATCTCTCTTCCCTGCTCTTTAGGCTCCTTGGAAGGCTCTGGTTTCTCCCACCCTAGGCTTTCAGAAGGGTTCTTTCCAGGTGGCTAGTTGTAGTGTTCCTACACACTAGAAACCCATACCTGCGTCAGTATTTTTTCACTCCCCAGTTAAAAGCTCAGTCACAGCACCCGGCCTCAACTCTGGGCGAGGCTGTGTTTGAGGAGGCCCCCTCAGCTTGCGGAGAGCTCTCTGGCAGTCCACAGCAGAAGCTGAATTCAAAGAGACTCAAGCAGGCACAGGACCGCGTCCCTATTTCTCGAGTCCTTCTGTTTCTAGCTTCTGCAAGAAAGATCATTTCACCCTCTTCAAGTGTGTTATTAATTTACCTTTTGGTAGAATTAAGTATGTAAAGTACTTAGTTATTCCTCTCAGGACCTAGTCATAAGCCCTCTTTAGCCCCAGGTTCCCGATGAGGAAATGAGAAAGAATTAGAGAAAGCCTGAATGAGGAGGAATGCAGGCGCGCTTATTCCTCTAGACAGGGGGGCCAGCTTCTTCCTGGCCTGGTCCGTTCACGCACTGAAGCTGCAACCCAGCTGTCCAAGCCTTGGGACCCTCTGGCAAAAATCACTATATGCTTCTCTTAGTCGGCCTGGCCCCCTTCCTTATCTCCTTGCTCATCTCTCCTTTCCCTTTTCTCTTATTTAGGTAATAGCACACTTGACCTTAGCCTCGTTTAGTGAAATGCGCCCAGTACTCGGTCCTAATCAGCAGGAAGAGCCTGCATTTAGATGTAATCAAGTACATTTCTGCAACATGTACTGCTTTCCCAGGTTAGCAACAAAGGCCTGACAGTGCTTTGTGGAGGGTCCAACCATCAATCACGGCTCCCTCGGATCCCATCAACCCCGGGATAAGAGGCACTGAAGCACATGGGTGATGCCCTGTCAACCACCCCTACTACAAGCAAGAGTCCTGCTTGAAGTGCTATATCCAACAGGCCCAGGAGGTGACACAGCAAACATGATCCCCTACAAATGCACAGAACCCGGCAGTCTGGTAGAGTAGTCACTTGCCGCTAGCTCCCCTCTAACTCGGCCATCCACACAAACCACGTGAGAACGAGGGCTGAAATAACAAATTTCGTAGACTGTGAGTAAATCGGAGCCAGTCTCTTTGGGCCCAAGTTTATACTGCAGTACATGGTAAGTTGCTTGTCAACAGAAGACGCGGGAATCTGGCACACTGTATCAGAATCAGACAGAGATCTGTGTCTCACGGCTCGACGTTTACCAGGTTTTCAGTTTGCCTGAAGGGTACGTGAGCAAGGGCATAAGATGAAAATCTGGGACCCAGAATTAAGCTGGCAAACCCCTACTTCCTCAGCCCCAGGGATAACCTGCTGGGTCCCTTTCTTTTTGTTGCTCTCCAGCCCAGTGGGGGCTTCCCAAGTAATAGCTCCCCCTCTGCCTTGGACAGGATCTATGCACTAGCCTGTGCCATTCTCCAAATACATGAATCACTGAAGATGTCTGAAGAAGCAGGTTAGATTGAACTGTCTGTTTGGGCTCAGTGCTCCAGAGAAGCTGATGGGAGGGAGGGTGCATAAATGCATATAGAGCAGCTCCTCGCATAACAACATTGTTTCCTTATAACGTTGATGAGATGCCAGAGCAACTTAACTCTTGTTTACAGCCTATGGTAACATTGGTTTCGTTATACAGTCATTTCACTTAGAGTCACAGAACCTCTTGATGATGTTGAGTGAGGACTTCCTGTAATTGAGGTCCAAAATGACAAATGCCTCTGCTACACTGAGGAAAAGCCAAAATGTCAGGGACACACCCATGTTCTACATCTGGTGCCAAGAGACAAAAACATCTTGTATGTACCCAGAATCCAACCAGTGGCTTATTGATTACATCTGGGTTCCAGGGCAGGCAGTGAAGGATGCCCAGGAAATGGTAGCAAACTTCTGACCTAACCTCAGTTTATGATGCCTTCTGAGGTTTGGCTAATATTATCTGAGCATTAACAGCTTAACCCCAAACAATAACACTTCTGCCCCCAGGTATGCTGTTCTGGTTATCCAAGTGAAAGGAAGTTTCAAAGTGGGGGGTTCTCGACCTGAGTTTCACGGGTGAGTTTCAGTGGGATCCATGAAATCACGCGCGCGTGTGTGTATGAGAGAGAGAGAGAGAGAGAGAGAGAGAGAGAGAGAGAGAGAGAGAGAGAGGAGAGGGAGAGAGATTGGATAGAGTGTCTTCTGAGGAGAATCCATAGCTTTCATCAGAATCTCAAAGGGTCCAAGACTCCCCAAAGGTTAAGACCTCCTGATATAGAAGCCTAAGGATTAGAGCAGCTGAAGGGTTGTGCAGTAGTCAGCAAATCAGGATGTCACAGGGCATGCTCACCAGCAACAGCCTTCTGTGCAGCCCAGGACTCCCAACTGACACTTCAAATTCTATGAGTCTCTCCTGTCTCCTTTCTGCCTCCTTTCTCTGTGTCACTCTTGTCCTCTTCTGTCTCCCCCGTCCTTTTCCTCTCTTCCTTACATCCCCCTCCCTCCTTCCCCGGCTCTTCTCATCCTCTTTTCCTCATCCTTAGCCATTCCCAATAATATGGAACAGAAGCATATTCTTAGTATTGTCTGTGATTTCCAGTACACCTTCTCGAATGAAGCTTTGGTTTTCTAATTTTTCAAAGCAGCTGAGTTGAGTGTTTTCTATTACTCTCACTAAGAAAATAAAGTAGCACAATTACTTTTGGCCTTCGACCACCATCTATGTGTGCCTCTATATCAGTGTGTGATTACATTTGTATATTCATCACTCTTCAGGAACTGTGCAGCCCTACTGTGTGGGTTTACAGCCACCTGCGTGGCACCATTTTTACTGTCAGAGACTCAGGTCCCCTTTCTCAACAGGACAGAGCAGCTTAGAAGAGCCTTGCGGTAATGTGTGGGGTGGCTCAGACAGAGGAGCAGCAGGAGAACTGTGAAACCCACAACGCGCAGACTGTTGGACCGGGGAGATGGCCTCTATGCTTCATAGCTGGTAGCCAGATGCCACAGAAGGGAGACACAGGCTCCACTTTTCTCAGGGACAATCACTTCTCCAGTCTGGACCCGAAAAAGGTGTCTTGCTATCGCATATAGTGTTAAGGGTAAATCGAGAAGTTTTGTTTGCCTTTCTGCATACATAACCACACCCATGAGTGAAATGCAGCACCAGGGTCTCGGGATTAGAACTGGCAAAGCAATATACTCAAAAGCCAATTAGAGTAAGGTCCTCTCAGCCGACTGTCCTGGAGGAAGCCATGCCTACTTACTTTTTCAGCACCCAGGTCTACAGACCTGACAAACTGCCTTGAGCCGCACTAGAACTCAGAGGACACAAGCCCTCCAGGCAAAAAGCAGTTTCTTCCTGACACTGCATGTGAGCCCTGAGGCCTGGGTGAGCACCCGAAAGGGTGCTTAATCACCCTCTCTGAGGCAGTTGCTTAACTCAAGCCTTTGGCCTCATGTAGGCATTCGCAGTCACCAAGGAAGGTACAGGGTAGAGTGGCTGTCTCAGTCATTGAACCAAGCGTGCGGATGAGAGTATGTTGGGGAAGGGCATATGGGCGTGTGTGAGGAGGTGTTTGGGAAATGAGTGTGTATGTATGAGAGTGTGTGTGTGGAGGGGGATGCATGCGTGGAAACAGTAGAATAAATGTGTGTATGTGTGTACATGGGTGTGTGAGTGTGGGGTGTGCATGAGAGTGGGGTGAATAGAGGTGTATATGCATGGATGAGCAGGTGGGGGGTATGCATCTGAATGGATTTGTGGGGTAGGGTGGGGGACATGAACATATGCATGTGTTGGATACATGGATGCAGGGTATGTGTGGGACGTGTGTGTACGTGTGCGTGTGGGTGTATGTGTAGGGACTGTGGATGTGTCTATGAGTGAGGGGATATGTATGGAAACAGGGATGCGGTGTGTGTGTAGTATGTGTGTATGTGAAGGGTAGGGTGTATATGTGTAGGAAGGGGGAATGTTGCCTTGTGTTTATGCAGGGAAGGTGAAGGACATATGTGTGTATGTGGGTGTTGGATGCAGAAGTGGGGTGTGCAGGAGGATATGGGGACGTGTGGGAGAAATACTGATGTATATTTAAGGTGTATATGTGTGGGGTTTGTGTATGCATGTGGGTGTGCAAGTTATGGGTCTGTGTAGAGCACATGTGTGGGGTATACAATACACTCACATATATTGTGCAGTGTGTCTATAGCTATATGGAGGGAGAGGTGTACGGGAATGAGTGTGTGGGGGGGATGGTGAGGGAAAGCTGTGTAGATGAGGGGAGGAATGAGGTACAGAGAGGAGTACAAGCACGTGGCTGTGTGTAGGGGTGCTCCATGTGTGGAGTCTATGTTGTGTGGTCTACGTGTGTGGAGGTGTGTGTGATTGCGGAGAGAGAGTGAAACATCATGGTACACACAGGGCTGGGCGTGGGCCGTGTGGATGTGAGCACGTGTGATTGGCGGGTGGGTGGGTGGAGCTGAGGACAGGACGCTACAAGGCTCAGCCAAGCAGAGGTCTGGAAGCAGAGACCTAAGAGAAGGTGTCACATTTACATGGAATTTCCAGTGGCATCTAAACATTCCAGGAAAGGGCCTGGGGACACAGGGAGCTCCCCTCTCTTGGGTAGTGGCCATGGGATAGCAACATTGGACTATGGTCCTTAGCAGCAGCTACAAAAACAAGGCCACCGTTTCCTAACTCCCTCCTCCTTAAGAAGCAGGGTTCGTGTAGGGGCATAACAGGGAACCATACCTAGCACCCCAACCCGATAGTTGAGGGTGATGACGATGACGTTGCCATAACTGGCGAGGACGCTGCCATCAATCATGTTGCCTGTCCCTTCCATGTAAGAGCCTCCATGGATGTAGACCATGACGGGCTTAGCGCCACTGTCCCGGATGTCTGTTAAGGAAAAGGGGTGAGACACAGGCTGGGTAGGATGCCCTTCCTCCCCACCCCCGCCAGCCCTGGGGGGGTGTGGGCAGCAAAGCTATTCCAGGTGCCAGGACACCACCGCCATCTCTTAGGGCAGGACTCATGGGGCTGCTCAGCCTGGAGCTCCAGCATCAGCCAGAGACAGCTGGACTTCAGTGATGTCTTTAAAGGCTCTGGCTTCCAGTGCCTCACAGCAGCCAGGCGTGCCTGAGACAGCTAGGCCTAGGGAGGCCATGGCTGGGCCCTGGGGGCAGGGGGCAGGGGACAGGGGTTGAGTTAGGCCCATCTCTGATGGACAGCAGAGCTTGGAATACCCAGGATGCCACTGTTCCCCGTGGTGGGTGTCCATGNAGGGGACAGGGGGCAGGGGGCAGGAGGAAGAGGAAGGGCTAGTCCCTTAGCTGGATCAAGTGAGTCCCTGCCCTGGGCGCCCAGGAGTCCTGGGACCTGTTATGGCTTTAGAGAGCAGGGGCTGGGGAGCCCTGGAACCCCCACGACTAGACCAGTTACATAGAAATACGGCCATTGGCAGCAGCTGGACCCCCAGTGCAGACAGAGACAAGAGGGGCGGGAGTAAGGAGTAGCACAGGGAGAGAACAAGGGAGAATGTGGGGAAAGGGGGGTGAATGGCACAGATGGGGTGGGGGAGCCTTAGTGATGTGCTTCCTCAGCCATGTGCTCATTTACCCCATTGTCCCCGGGCATCAGGCAGACTTAACTAGAGCCACAAGGGATGTGGAAAAGAGGAAAGGGGCAGAACTAAGAATGAGAGAGCCTGCCCCCAGTCAGCATTAGGATGAAGATGGAGTCTCCCACAGGCCATTCAACGAGGGACCTGAAAGTGGCTGCTCCCAAGCCCAGGCAGCACGGTGCGGGGAGGGGGGAGGCCACACCAGCACAGCCCTGCCAGCCACCACTGGGCCCCTGAGCTGTGTGGCCCCTCCAGGGGTGGGGGGTGTTCCAGCGAACACAACCTGTTTTCCCAAGGACGAAGGAAGACAACTTCAACCATCACCCAAGTATCTACTGACTTTGGTGTCCTGGCCTCAGCCTGACGTTTTAGCTTGCGGTCCTGTGACCCTGTCCTCAAGCTCCATCCGCCCCTGGCCCTGAGGCCATCTCTCTGCTTCTGAGAGAAGGCTGGGGAGGTTGTAGGTGGTGCTATTCTCCACCTTGTTTCTCAGGAGCCAGTCTCCCCACGAAACACAGACATCTCCTTGCATTCCCTCAGTCCTGCTTTCTCTCCACTCTCCCTGCTGCTCAGTAGGGACAGGTGCTCGTGAACCACAGAAGATGGGGGAGGAAGCTGTCTCCGGCAGACAGCACTATTGCTACTGTAGGACTGAGAATGGGAGTGGGCACTGGGGCGAGGAGGACACTCTCCCGTGGCTCTGCTTGTGGTCCCCGGCCCCCGCCAGCCGTGTCCATCACCCTGGAACTCCCAGTGGCCAACCAGGCCAAAGATGGATGAACAGCCCAGCGGCCTTGTACAGGAACAGAAACACACCAACGGACGGACAGACAGACAGACGGGGCTTCTCCCCATCGAGAGGGGGAGGGGCTCTGTGCCATGCACCAGCCGCCACGCCCTGCAGCCCCCAAATACCTTCATCTTCATCCCCGTCATTATCCGCTAAGTCCTCGCCCTGTTTCTTAGCGCCGGATCCTGGGGACCAGACACGGGGAGACACAACAGCACAGAACAGAGAACAAAACAGAGAGAGAATTCAAAAACAGCATGACTGCAGTGTGGCCCAGCAAGCCAGCTCTGGGCCTGGGCCCAGGACAGGCAGGAGGGATGGCAAGAATTGAGGGAATGGGTGGGCTGAGGCCCCTGCTGTGCTGGCCTCCCTGCCCCGCCTCCCTGTCCCCAACAGCCCATCTCAGCCAACTACCTTCCCAGGTAGGAAGGAGGTAGCGGCAGTTGTGCTACGGCACAGAGCCAGATACCCACTCAGGGAAAGGATTTCTTCCATATGGAAGGGGCTGTGCATGTGTACACAGGCAGGCTGAGCTGGAGAGCAGGGACAGGCACTGACGGTGACAGGTGGCACTGGCCGCACGTGTGCATTTGAATGTGAGCTATTAGGGGACGAGCCCTGAGCTCCCGGGCCCAGTGGGCAGGCTCAAGCTGGGCCTCAGCTGACCCTGATTCCCACAGGAGAAAATGGGAGATGAAGCTCTCCCTCTGGTCTTCCTTGTTGGGGCTCCTTGCTCTGGTCAATGGCAAATGGGGTTCCTGCCCACAGGAACCAGGCCTGAGAGCAGCAAGCCTCTTTCTGAGATCTAGAGAGAGCCAGAGAGGGAGGAAGGGAAAGAAGGAAGGGGAAATGGAGAAAAGGGAGAGAGTGAGAGAGAGAGAGAGAGGTGTGATAGCTCCTACCGTGTACTATGTACTGAATATTTACCAGGTGCTAGACTCTACTTCTGCCTTATTGTTTGATCCTTACTCCCCAATGAGGTAGGTACTATCTTTATTCCTGTTTCACTGATGGGGAAACTGAGGATCAGAGAGGTGAAGTGACTTGCTCAAGATCACACAGCTAGAAAGTGCTACAGGTGAGACACAACCCCAGGTCTGCTTGACTCCAAAGGCCATGGTCTTTCCACTGCACCAAGCCACCTTTCTGGGATGGGGGAGAGGGAAGGGAAAAAAGAAATGAGAAAAGAGGTGGGGCATGAAGGGGAAGGGACGGAAGGGAAGGAGAGGATGGAGGAGAGAAGAGAGACATTCAGGACCTGGGGGTAAGCTGTTCTAAGGAGACGAGAAGTGCATCCTGGGAATGGCTGTGGAGAGAGGGGACTTACAGCCTGGATGCTGAGCAGTGTGTGGAAACAGGTCATTCTGCTGGCACCCCTGGCTTACCCCCCTGTCTAGGACGCCAGATACTCTTAGCCTAGAGGCAGCAAACAGCCCTCTTTCTCAGCTGGTCTGGGCTCCAATGGATGAATTCCCTTACAGCCATTAATCAAAACGGAGCCACCCTGATATTTCAAAATGCCTTTTCAACTAAGGCAAGAGCCCAGCCCAAGGGGCAGCTTCTTTGGACTTCCGGTGGCATCGACCATCTTCACACCTGCCAGTACTGCCCTCAGAGATCTTGTGGGACACGGGGTGTCATCATCCACACAGGGGACAGCCCGTCCACCCCCACCCCACAGATGGAAAGGAATCACTCATCTCTAAACATGAATTCCCTCCAACTTGATGGGGGTGGGGGGGGATGGGCATGTCTTCCCCCGGAAATCCTTCATTTCCCAGAGGCCCTGACTTAGAAGATGTGTCCCTTTTGCCTGCCCCCCCCCAGAAGTGTCCCTGGGCTGTGCATTGTCCCAGCCTCCCCCACACCGATGTCCTTGCTGCTGCGCCTGGCACCCAGGCCAGCTCCACCACCATCCCCCATCACAACACTGTGGTGATATAGGGTCCCAGCCAGGCCAATGCTGCCTACGCACACAAACCTCATGACCTCTGGGGAGAATTTCCTCCAAGAGGCAGGGTTTGTAACTCAGGCCCAAACAGCCAATGGGCCCTGGATAGGGAACTGACTTGAGCAGCTAAATGGCCAAATGACCTCCTCTGCACTGTCTGAAACCCCCTTCCCAGCTTGGCCTGTGGGGCCTAGCTAAACCAGCTGAGGCTAAACACTAGGCTAAGCACTTCTTGAGAGCAGCGGTCAGACCTTTAGTTATTTCTAAATCTTTCCTCTGTCTCATTCATATCTCTCCACATCCCAACAGCACCTAGCACTTGGCCTTGTCCGTGGTCAACAATCATGATTGGTAAGTGTTTGTTTTGGAGCAGACCTTACAATCAGCTCTCCAGCCAAACTCTCAGGACTGGGTCTAACTGCCCTAGGCTGTTACTGGTGTCCTGGGGAGATCACCCCGCCTAGGAAACGGTTAATGCTAAGGTTAGGTCCCTAGGAGCAGATTTAAGAGACCTAAGTGAATTCATTGATAGGCTAATGGAGTGTTAAGGACAGACCATTCACTACCACCCTCAGGTGCTGAAAGTGGTTCTTAAAGGAAGACTTGCCTAAGGCCTCACTTTGAATTAGCACCAGGAGCTGAAAGTCAGTCAGGCTTTGTGGCTCCCAGACCGGCTTCTTCATTTGCACACAAAAGCCTTTGCAGGATATCGTGGAACACTTAGTTAGCATGCCAAACATGGAGATCCTGGGCTCTGCATCTGGTCCCAGGAATCCTGACAGCCCCACTTGGGGGAACCCTGCTCTAGGATTTCAAAGGAAAGCAAAGTGCAAACTTGCCGAAGGGTGGCACGCATCAGGCTATGACTGTCCACCTGTTCCTTAGGCTGTTACTGTTTCCAGTTCAGCCTCGCTCATCCACATTTCAGCATTTCTTTCAGGGATGGGGAGGTGGGAATGAGCAGACGGGAGTTGCCTCGCGTGCTACAGTGGAAAGAACACTGCCCTGAGGGTCAAGAGACCCAGGGTTTGGTCTCAGCTTTGCCACAGACCAGCGACAGGGCCTTGAGCAGCCGCAAGTCACTCTCCTGGGCCCGTTTCCTCATCCGTAACATTGGGACACCGATGCCCACCTTAGAAGCTTCCAGAGACGTGGGGAAGATTTTCTGAGGTAAGTATGAAAGCACTTTATAGAAAGCAACAAGTGCTATTTGAACAGGAAGAATGGTTATACAGGGGGAAAAAATTCCTCCCAGCAAGGGGGTCAATTGAAAATGCAGGCTCTCACGGCTCCATTAGTCCAGAGTTCCCGGAGACCCCCAAGGTCTGCCAGTAGACTAGCCCGAGTCACTCAGCTATGCACTGGCAGGATTACTAAGCCTGTGTAGGAGTTTGGTCTCAGCTTCAGGGTTGGACAGTTGAGTCTAGAACTTTCAACCCGGGAAAGAGCATGGAGGGATGAGCCGCTGGCTCCATCTTGACTGCCCGCTCTGTCTTTGGCATACGCTTAAGGGTGGAATTTGGGGCCAGGAAGACTGGAGGAAATGGCTTTGCTGCTTCTGCTCTGAACCTTCCTTAGGCCGCCAAGTCCTGCCTTTGGATGAAGTGGAGCTCACCGACCGCCCCCTGAGCCTGGGCTACTTGAAGGAAGGCTGGGTCCTCAGGGACAAGGGCAGGTGGGCAGGCAGACCTCCCTCTCTCTCTCTCTCCCTCCCCGCCGGCTCGCTACCTACCTCCTTTCCTACAAATTTTCTTGTTGGGCTTTCGGGCGCATTCCTTGGAAATCCGCTTTACTGTAAAATGAATAAAAAACTAAAAAATAACAGGAGGCCTCTGCCCAGGGGCATGCATCCCCCACCCCCAGGCCCCAAGAGCTGCTCTGCAGGTGGCACATGGCAGAGAGCCTGTCCCACCATCTCCTTGTTTCTGTCACTTACCTTAGTGTGACCCCCGCGGGAGGAGGCATGAGCTAGTGAAAGAGAAGGCACCTAAGCAGGGCCCTCCAGGCTTGCCCCCCGCCCCCACACACACGCCCAGCTCCCTTGGCTACACACAACGACCACCTTTCAAAGCAGGTGGAATGGCAACAGGGGGGTCTGGTGCAGCCAGCATCCTCCCGCGGGCAGCTACCAGCAGTGACCCATACTCCCCCAGGGGAACCCCCATCCAGCACTCTGGCCCTAGACTTGTCAAAGCTCTCAGGCCTGGCCAGGCCCGTCCTGGTAACAGTGTCACTCACACATGGGAGCTGAGACAATGCTGGGAGAGGGAAGAACAGGGCGGAGGAAAGGGAAGGCCGAGCAGAGTGATGGTTAGAAGCTTGTTCACAGACAGACAGAGGCATGCTGCAGGGCACACAAGCACGTGCAAGCCACGAACACAAGAGGGCAGGTGGGAGGCAGGGAGGGCACAGTGCCTGGCCGCAGCACTCACCATCCTCCGTGGGCACATAGACATTCAGGTAGAGGCAGTCTTCGTTGGGCTCCTGGATGTAAGTGGCGACGATATCCAAGTTGGCAGTGAACCAGACAGGCAGCATGACTTCGGGCACCGCTGTGTGGATGTTCTGGGGGCACACTGGGGGGAAGTGTGTGGCGTTCCGGATGCCAGACCAGGACGGGGGTGGTTCAGGGGGCAGGAAGCGTTTCTCGCCAATCGGAGGAGCTGCGTAGGGCACTCCCAAGTATTGGTCCACAGGCCCCAGGATCTCACTGGGCAATGGTACCCGGGCACCCCTGAGCTTCCCAAAGTGAGTATTGACTGTGGGTGCTGGGGCCTGCGTACTGGCCCTCAGCACCAAGCCGAGGAACCACAGGGTGAGGCACAGGCTCCGGCCAACTGTGGGCTGGGGGCTCAGGGACAGCAAGGGCAGGCCAAGCCACAGCCACATGTTCCGGGCAGGGGGACTGGCAGGAAAGGCAGACTCCAGGGTCACAGCATCAGCCCAGTAGGCAGCCACTTCATGGCCACACTGACTTGAACCTCAAAACTAAGCTCTCGAGGGACACCTTCAGGTGCCCAGCACGTTGAGGGCAGGCCGTCCGAGCTCCACAGCTTCAGAAAGGGAACTCCCTCAGGGCCAGGCAGACCTGTGGAAAGACAGAAGTAGGCATCACCCAAGATGGTCGTGACAGCTATGGAGTGGCTCCCTGGGGCCTTGCTGGGATTGAGCTATTCTCCTACATACCCTCCCGGGACTCCAGGGACCCACGAATGATCTCCGCTGCCAGTCAGAACCGTTCTATGTGCCTGGCCATGGTTGGAAAAGCCAAGAGGACTGACACAGTGACAGGGGTTGCCACGGCAAGTTCCCAGTCCCCAACTTCAACTCCTCAGCCAATAGACCTCATGGGGGCCAGCTGGAGCCAGAGTGGCATTTGGTAGCAGGGGCGGGGGAGCTGGAAATGGAGCTCACATCCTTGGGCATGCTGTATGAACCCCCAGACTGGAGACCTCATACAGGGACCTCCACCTCAGGAAATCCTCACTCCGGGACTCTAAGGCCTAAGAAGGGAAAGTCGCAGATAGGCACAGTGTCCCACAGAGAGACCCCTCACCTGCAGGAGGGCCAGGGGCACCACTGCCATGCGCCAGAGTCCCCAGAGCCTCCCGTGCCCTCCTGTACATTTTGCCTCAATCCTAACAGCTCCCAAATCCTTCAGCCTTGGTCCTTTCTGTCGACTAGCTCTGATTCACACGGAGTGCCAGAACTGAGGCAGAAAGTCCTCTGCCTGGCACCCTAAGCATTGTTGATGCTCAGCCAGTGTAAAGTAAACAGCGGAGTGCCAGGGACCGACACTCAGAAACTCAGAAATAAACTCACAAAGGCTCAAAGACAGAGTGAGAGAGAGCAAGCCAGGATCACAGAAACGGTCATCTTCACTCGGAGACATGTTCCAAACCCATAGAGAACTCCTCATCTAGTCCCACATTCTCAGACTGAGAGTGTCACAGAGCCAGAGACTCACAGGGACATACATTCAGACACACACATAGAGACTTACTCAAATATAATCACATACACACACCACATAGCTAAATATCCAGATACATGCAGCTTGATGGTGACATACAGATGGAGGCAGAAACAGAAAAAGCAACACAATCAAGACACACAGGCCTTCTGACACAGAGTTATATACAGTCAACACATATACACAGGCACACACAGACGCTCCTGCATGGACACACACACACACACACACACACACACACACACACACGCACACGCACACGCGCACACACA